CCCGCCGTGGAACTCACTTGATGACCGTTCCTTTGGCGCCCCCTGCCGTGGTGAGCATGACGCGCGTCGTGAGGCTGCCGCGCAGGTCCTCCTGGTCCAGGCCCAGCAGCGCCGCGCAGCACTCCAGCGCCGCCTCGCTCCGCGGCCGCACCGCGCAGCCCCCTGCGAGACACCGCCACAACTGCCGTTACCGCCCGTTACCTGCCGCTACCGGCGTTACCTGCCGTTACCGGCCGTTATCACCCACCGCGCACCGCCGCGGACACACCCTCCCTTTCCTACCCCTCTCTCCGTGGATAATGAAACCGCCGTGGGTTTGGCGTTTCTGTGTAAAAGTTTAAGGGAAGAATACTGAGCAGGCGATGATCTTGCCATGACGACTAGAAATAGCATCAGCTTGGAAGAAATTACGGAAGATTACTTCATATATTGAATACTGAAATACTCTGAAAATTACTTCATATATTAAAAGAGTCAAGTTCTCAAAAAACAACCAAAAAAACCCCCAACTACCCAAAACCCATGCATAAAATTCCCTATATCTAGAACGCTGTTCTAAACAAAGGATCTTCAAAAGCTAACCTGACTTTAAGTGAAAGAACCACCCCAAAATGTATGTGTTAACACCTAGTAACCAACTGCAGTGATTGAAAAACTTCTGGATTTTTAGGTTCCTGTGATCCTCTGGACTTCCTTGCTATGCATGCACAGACCAACAGAAGTGCCTGGCGCGGCAAACTCCTAGCACTGATATTTTCAGATAACGGGGTGTACGTTTTCCCCAGAAAAGAGCTGAGAGGTGTCATTCCTTCTGCTCTGCACCATGGCCTTCATGCCAGAGCCCCTCCAGCCGCTACAGGTTCCTAAATCTCTGGCTGAAGTGCTCAAACACTTCAGCAAAATCTAACACTGAATTACATATGCCAGGATTACAACATCTGCTTCCTGTTGTTCTCAGTAAAATTGGTTTCTACAGGTGAAGAGAGCAATATGGCTAAGTAATTATTCAAACATTGCTTGAATTCCTTCACTCTACAGTGAGACTAAGGAAAAAAAAAAAGGGGGAGGAAAAAGGAGTCCTCAAAACCTATTTTGGAAGCTGTGAAACACCATCTGACCTGTAGTAAACAGCTTGTGTTTGGTGTTTCCCAGGTTTTTGAAGCAGCAGCAGAACTTTAGAGTGTCTCTGGTAAGAGGCTTACTGCCTGGAGCAGCTCAAATGCACACACCCTGTGTGTACATACACAAGGTGAGAGCAGAACACCGCCTGCATTTGCAATGAACACTTCAGAAGTTCAGTCACTGATTCCAGAAAACAAACGGGTTTGAATTTCAATATTCAGAGAAATTAATTTTCCTGGTATTCTCCTTCCCTTCTCTAAACTCTGACTTCCCTCACCATCTGTGGTTTGCCCTCTCCTTGTCCATTTGCCTTCTGAAACCACGTCTCCACTCACACTTACACCTTTTTAACTCTGTCCCACTTCGTCACTCCCAAATTCCCAACTCACAGAAGGCCCAACTAGGGAAGCTCCCTGCCAGTGTACTGCTGAGCCCTGTGAAACCCCTACCCTTCTCCACCCCCACATCTTCCCAGATTAATGTGAATTAATCATGTTCATTTCATGGCAAGATCATGAATGGACATTGGGGAGGTTCTGATTTGACTTAAGGGAAAAAAGAGGGGGGAGGGAGGGGGAAAGCCCAAAACCTACACCTTCTCTGTGACAACCCAAAGCTACCTGGTCCTCACTGAACTATTTCTTGAACAATTTCAGGGAGAGTCTATTTGCTTTCTGAGCGTGTAAAGAAGTACAACTTCAAAACAAGCAGGTAACCTTGACTTCAAAATGACGTGAATTTAAGACTGAATTACCCTTGAACGCAAGGCAGCTTTCTAAAGCAGTAATTCCCATGAAAAGGAATCACCTATAATCAAGAGACATTTTCAGTATTTTTATGGAAAACAATTTCTGTTTCATCCAACCTGAAGTGCTCCCAGCTTCCTCAAAATCAATATTTCCAAGGTGAAGGACACCAGCCACTACTCTAAAAAGATCGAGTTTTTCTGCATCATCCAGTCCGATCTTTTTCATTGCTGTGCACATTCTGTTGAAATCTCCATGGTCATCCAAGAGGGGATCCTTCAAGGAACCTGCTTTGAGATACTGGAAAACAACAAGAGAAACCAAAAACTCAGTAAGTGATTTTAAAGTAAACGCAAGCATTTATTTCCAGTCAAGAGCAAACCATAACAAAAAGGAGAAAAGAAGCATGCCAAACTGAGTAGATGAAAGAGATTCGAGCTCCTCATACAATACAGGCTTTGCAAGAACCCTAATTTATTTTAATTTGTTGCTACTTTGAAGCATGATCTTCAAACTTCAACTTCAAAGCAAACTCCAGCAGTTGAAAGAACACTGAGGTCCTTGTAATAGGATGACAAAGTCTGGAGGGCCATGGGAAAGGAGTACAGGACAAATCAGAACTGAAGAGTTATCCCTGTCCTAAACAGATTGTTTACAGAAATATACTTTTAATCACAAGCAAATGTTTACGAAACAGCAAAGCTGTTGGCAATGTTCTATGGGTTAGAAGAACACCAGCTACATTTTAAAATACCAGTTCAATATATTGCTGATTTTCTTCATTTAAATGCACCAAAAGCCACTTTAGCTATTAATGGTTCTGAAGAGCAGATAGTGACACATCCGCATGCAATCAAGAGACCAACTGAACATGCACAGACTGAGCTCTGCTTGCACAGTTACTTTGTTTTAAAAAGGATAACTAACTTTCAGTGGAAGCCTCGTTAATGTCAAAGAAGTTGGCATGATTTTTATCAAAACAAAACACCGCATGCATCTGAAAGATTCACTTCACACAACATTTAGACACGTCAGTAAAATTAAACTACATCTTAATTATGTAAAATCATCACCTCATCTTCCTGATAAGGAAAACACAAAAATAATTTAAGTATTAATTGACTGTTATACTTCTATTAAAATAAACAATCTTAATATTTTTCATTAAATCATATAATAAGTATTAAAATTCTGATTAAAAGACCTCATCAATTAATATATTTCCTGTTTAAGTGGCTAGACTAAGTTTAAATATCATTGAAATTTGAGCCGTTATTGAGCCTTCAAATTGACATGGCTGTAACACACAGCTATTATGGCATCCTGTGTTCCACTACTTAATGTCTGCTGCATCATTCTGCTCTCAGTATGTTTTTGTTTACATGAACACTTATTTCAAATTAAGCCCTTTAGAGGACACGTTTCTTGACAGAACACCTGTAAATCACATCAGTAACAGAAGATTGCACAGGTTCGTCTTCCAGTAGCAAGAGTAAGTGAATTTGGATACGTTATGCCTACATAAACTACCAACTTTACTACAAACTTTCATTCTTGAGTATTTTTCCACATGTATATGGAGCTTGCCCTGCTACTGCATCACAAGTATGGATTTGATTAAGATTTGAAACATCATCCAGCTATACAAGTGAGAAATTCATACTTCAGGTATGAACAAATGCAAATTGTATTAGAGAGCTGAGTAAAAGTTTAATGAAGTGTTTAAAGAACTTCCAATTCACGTATACTATTAATTCAGATTAAATTCTTTAGTGTCCTCACGTGAACAAGCTCAAAGGCTTAAATGCTACAAGTTCTGGTCATTCCAGTTTTGAAAAATGTAAACAAAAACCAGTAAGGAACGCAGTGTAGTGAGGAGGGTGATTTACTCGTGCTGGATGTGAGGTTGCTGTAATGTTTTATGAAAGAGTTTGGAGCATCACTTCAAAAATCCAGGCACTGAAAATGGCTCTGGGGAAAAACTACTGCTTCTGAGGTATTCATAGGATCACAGAACCACAGAATCATTCAGGTTGGAAGAGACCTCCAAGATCATCAAGTCCAACCATCAACCCAAAACCACCATGCCCATGCTTCTTGAACAGCTGCAGGGATGGGGACTCCACCACCTCCCTGGGCAGCCTGGGCAGTTCCTAACGGTAGTAAGAGTTAAAAAGAAAATCACAAAGTCTTGGGTAGATCTTTGTTTTCCACAGAAGACAAGCTGAATCATTAAGGGTTTTATCATTGCAAGAATTAAAAGGAAACAGTTTAATATATTGTTCCATTTGGGGTTTTAAGATGCATGTTAAAAAGTATCTCTAGGACTGATCTCCACAATCAGAGTTCTGAATGTACCAGCTTCAACAGTACCCACCTAGGCCCATAAAGATGTGTAAAATGAACATTTCATTCCACACTGTAGAACTGCAATCACCATTTTCAACTCTATCTGCATTAGTTAATAAAATATAAACTAACTGAAGATACAAACATACCTCAGGACTCTTGCGATTCTGCAAAATCTGCTTGTCTGTTTCTTTGTTAGCAAAGTATCTGGTACAGCCACGATTTAAATACTGTAACAACAAAAAAAGAGGAAACGCATACTTACAGACAGCAGTAATGAAAACATCTGCTTTTATTTAAGGCTTGCTCTACATAGCTTGATTTAATCATATAACAACAACATAGTAGGTATTCAGAATTCAATCCTCGATAATGTATGTATTTACATCTGCAAATTTACAGAGGTGCAGCAGTAGCAAACTCCCATTGGAAGCTTCTTGATTTGGACAACTAAAATACTTTCTGACACAGTGGGATATTCATTTTGTTAAATCCCACAGCATTTTTTTTTACTGTTTGACTCTACTAAGCCCATTAATGGAGTCTGGGATTACAGAAGAGACAATCCAAATTAGGAACCAAGAAAACACATTTTCTGGCCTATGTGTAATACCAAACTTCACTCATTTTTTTCCTCACCAGTGAAATATTTCTCTATCTAAGAGATGTCGCATATTACAAAGCTTGAAGAGCATTAAAAGCTTATGACGTGGTAAAAGCAGAAGCCTATTTCAGAATCTGGCTTCTGATGACCATCTCGTGCTGTAGAGCCAAGGGAAGAGAGCAGACATTCAGATCATGACTGACATTTCCAGCAGAACGGGACTGCCAGCTTTTTCTCTCTGATTTGTTCGGCTGAAAGCAAGAGCTGTGTCCAAAAGAGCCCTTTGTCTAAAGGAAGTGAACTGATTCTTTGCTCTGACCCATGAACAAAGAAGATGTTTTCAACTAGGTGAACACAGATAGTTTTACACTTTGATTCAAATTTATGTGCAAAATACTAAAAATCAAAATATTATTCAAAGCAATTCTAACAGAAGAAAACCAGGTGACAAATTTAACATTAAAACAAAGTGACAAGAAACTGTTCAAAGTAACCTTGGTGTTTAACAAAATACTGAAAAGTTTTCTTCATCAGCCAATAAGAATGCAAAGCACAGCACATTGTAAACACAACACATTCCTGTACTACAGTATCAGTAACACAAACCCAGAAACTGGGGAGGGGAACTGGAAAAGGCTGTACTTTTCAAGAAGAGAGTCTAAAAACTTATCTGACAGGCTGAGAATGGGAACCAAGACGGTATTCATCATGACCTCTGTAGGAGACCTTGAATCACAAGATAACGGCTTTCATTTGGAAGCCACACTCAAGTATATCTACAGACTGAATCTAGGAGAAATCATATTTTTAAAGCACACAAACATACAGCTTGAGGTTATCATCCATAACATCTAAACAACATTGTACTTTTTTTTGAACTCTGAAGTACAACACCCCATGATAACATCAGTGACCCAAACATAAAGTGATCTGATTTCTCTTCTGGAAATTACAATGTGAAAAAAATTCAGCTTCTCATCTCCACAAGCTACACTCTGGGTACAGATTTATGGTGCAGCTTTACCGCCACAGCCACGTGGTGCAGCCCAAAGCACCCAGACCTATGGGTTCAGCACAGGGCTACCCAATGACTTTGAATTTCTGAAAAGTGGCACAACAGAGCCGATGCAAAACTGCAACTTTAGGAATGGGCTTTTCCTAAATAACCTATTTGAGAGCATGGTATTTTTCTGAACGTATTTCCTGTCCAAAAAACGAGCATTAACATCAAAGCACTGATCGATCCTCAAACCTTGACAAGTGCAATATCACCATCTATTATCAGAAGCTTCAAAGATGGCATTTCCATGGATTTTGAACCAGACAGAGAGGTAGTCAAGAAAAAACATGGTAAAAAAGTGACACAACCATGACTATTCACAGCCATTTTATGATAAAACCTGAAGGAGCAAACGAGAATGAAGAACACAGCAAAAATAATCTTGCCAAAATTTAGTACAAATTTAGGAAGAAAATGAACCTTTTGCAGGTTACTTTTCTGAAAATCTCCTATAAAGTGATACTTCATGAAAATTTAGTGCAATATGACCAATAAACTTAAAGTATATTTACATCAATGTACAGATATACAAAGATGAAAATGATCCTGTTTTTTAAATGCAATCTACATTAACTTCAAAAGAGGGGGGGAAAAGCATTAAAATTTTTAAATTTAAAATGCAGAGTGGATCTTTCACATACAGCAAGGAACTCAGGATTCAAACACTAACTTACGGTAAAGCAATAAATGTTCTTCATGGGAATTAAAGTACCTGCTGCAAACTTAGTAGAAGTCAAAAGAATTACGTCGTGGTGTGATAACAAGGCTGGTGTGACTGCAAACTCTTCACAAATGAAACGGGGCAGTGAGGGCCTTCTGTACTGCACTGCACCAGCCTGATTTTAAGCAGGTTGTAATTCTGACCTTGACATCTACAACCCTGTGTGCTCTCATACGCAGAGTTTTTGATTTAAAAAAAAATCCCCAAGAGCGTGCATGCAGCATATTCAGCTCCAGAATTAAAAATCTATTAACTGCAAGAAGGAACTTTTAATGGAAAAGTGACTGCACAAGAAAAATACGTAATTGGACTTTTTTTTCAAGGTTTTAGCTTTAAAGCATTCAGGAGAATATGGCATAGAATAACTGCATAGTAAAGAAGTTTTGAAAAGTAGCTCCATATTATATGAAAATTAATGGTGGGTTTGGGGTTTATTTTGTTCTGGGTTTTTTTTAAAGTATTTCGTTTGTTGGGTGTTTCAAAATAAGTCTTTTCCTTCTAGAGAACAGAAGCAAATCTTTCTCAATAAGCATCAGATCAAGTTTCCAGCACATAACCGAGTTCAAGCAGATGAACTATAAGAAGATACAAGCTAAATACTTAAAGAAATAATCTGGGGTCTATAAAGGCTCCTAGGAAGATCTTTGAGGAAGTAAGGAGGCTTGTCATAAAAGGGAGCAAGATACACCATCAAAGAAAACAATCAGCACAGTAATGTAGCTTTTGGTTAGCAGTGCTTCTCACCCCATTTAAGATCAAGGAAGTCTACAGAGATGACAGTCAATTAAATTGTATCCTTGTAATCGCAAGTGCTCTCCAGGGTTGTGTTACAAAACTCTTCCAAACCCGCGGCAGGGATTTGGTCTGCGTACTTTAGAAACACACAAAATTCTGCTTCCGTGAGATTCCAAGCCAGGCATAAGCCAAGAAACAGTGGAGGGATGCAGACAAGTGACACAACACAGGCAAACAACTGACCGGTATCTACCAGCAGGATCCGATTTGCCAGTATTTTTCTTTTCAGTGCAAGTCAACAAAGCAATGGTGATATTTGTAGGTATTTACAGTTCATGTGTGATTGTCAAGAGGAAAAGAAAACCAAACCAAAAACCTACTAATAGATTTAAATATACTTAAACAGCAGCAACAAGTGATTGAAGGCAAGCATCTTCACCTTACTCGTAGAAGTGGTGATGACAGTATAGGATGTGAATGGGTTTAGAAGGACCCTGAAAGGGATGGCAGAAACTTGCTTTAAGAGGAAGAGAAGCGACAACCAGGAGAACAACATGAAACAGCTGTGTAAGTAACATGGCATTGGTTGGATAAGAGTTCAATAATATTAATTTCTCAATGAAAAAAATACTGCAATAATTGAGATACAGCACACTGTGACATTAAAAGAGTCGTAAACAAGGGAAATGGGGCTGGAGTCAAAAACAAATTCAAGAAAAAATTTGAACTAACAAGTGAAAGAGCAAAAGGAAACATCACACTATTTGTCGATCATTTCTGGAAACAATTCAGTGAAATCTGAACACAGAGAAGGGGAGAAGAAAGAAGAAAAGCTGGAGGAAAAGGTTGAACGTTAAACCACAGTAGTAAAACCATTCAGTGAAAAACGGGAGGAAAAGAATGCAAGAAATTAAGGGTAGGACAGAAAGCCAGTCCATTTGTGGCACTGCTGCTAGAAACATGACACAGGATCAGGGCTCATCAGGAGAAGCCACATAATCTCAGAAAGTAGCAAAAACCCTAAAAATAAAGCATGAGGAGAAGGAGGAAAGGCCGTAAACAAATCAGAAGATGTAAGAAAAGGCCCACAGGATTGAATTAAAAGGCTGACAGTATCCAAGAGCTTGTCTTCATCCATGATTCCTGCTCCAGACAAGGACTTTACTGTTCCTTTCCGAGTTGGGATGACAAAACTGCATCTGCTATTTACAGATCTGGATGTACGTTGCAGCATAACTCACTATTTCATTCTCCCTTCCTTTCCTAACAACTCCTGAATTTCTACTCTGCTTTTTCCCTGCCACTGAATATTAACCCAATATTTTTTTAAGTATGTACAATGATTCAAGTCTTATTTCCCCGCTGTTTCAGTTCACGTTCATTTAGGTGTAGTGAGGAGTATCTCATTCACACTTTACACCTGTAGAAGAGCCCATAACAACATCACTAGCAGCTGGGTATGCAACGGTACATTTTTGGAGAAAGAAAATACTCCGGTTTTAAGTCACAGAGAAAATGTAAAGGAAATCTTCCAATATGGAAAAATGGCAGGCAGCTTCATTTCAGGATCACACAGATTTTAAAAAAAATATATTCTTACTTTTGTAACAGGAAAGAGTCTATCAAAGATAACAAATAGAGATTTTAATAAGGTCTATATGAAAAATCCATGTATGGCAATATGAGAAGCTTTACAAACGCTGACTCTGCTACTCACCCTAAAGTTGTCAGGAGAGCTTAGATACAGCTTTTCCCTAATGTCTTCTGGAGCACCAGCACAAAGCCTGTAAAAGATATGGTAATTCCTCTCTTCTTTGCCTTGCACGCAGATCCTAGATTTCTCCAGCAGGTAATGCGATACAAATCCACCAACCACCGAGTTCTAGGAGGAAGAAACAATTTTCTGATTATCTGAATATCTTTTGCGTTATTTGAGATGCAGAAGTTTTCAGTTTACATTTGTCTGATCACAGCTCACTCAACAGACACTGCTCCAAAGATGATTAAAATATCTCTATACCTAATACATATTAAGCTTAGAAAATAAACCATTGCCTTTATCATAACTTCTCCCCCAGCTCATGTATTGCATATACATAAATTCCTCTTAAAAGAGGGGTCTGATTCACCCCAGCAAGCAGAAATCCTGAGTAAAATTCCAGTAGTTCCTGCAAATGGCATTGCTACAGCCACCCTTAAACGGCCATTACCGTGCTATTACAAACTTCTCTAATTGCATTTCACTGAAACTCTTTCCAGGGAGAAGGAAGGGTTAAAATTAAAGACTACATATTTGGACAGCATCTCAGGAAGACTAATTATGAGCAAACATTTTATTTCAAACACTTGCACTTCTTTTCTGAGACACAAGTCTGGCACAGATTTTTGAAAGCCATTTGTTATCTGACCTGTGATAAAATTCCCTGTGCCTAGACAAATCTGAATAGCAAGGAAATTCCTGAGCTTATGGCCATTAGAGCAACTAAGAAGCACTTAGTGACAAATTTAACTGTGGTTATATGCAGTCATTCACTCATTCAGGAGGCCCCAGTCTGTACTTAAATTCCTTTGAGAAATTAGACCTAATACGGTCACCAAGAAATGAAGTCTTGTGAAGTATGAAGTCTTGTAAAAAGGGGCTCATATAAAGTGGCTGATCTTGCACTGGAAAGCTGAAACAGGCTTTTAAGCTGTTTCTGAAGATACTGAGTGCGATGAAGCAATTAATCTGAAACATCACGTAAGTGTCGACAGCTGAGTTGACAGGTCATGAATGCATCATCCCAAGTAGAAATACGTGTTGCTTCTGTAAGTTTATTAACATGAACTGGACCAACAGATAAAGTCCCTCTACCCTTAATGGCATTTAGTTATCTGCTATGTAAACTATTAACCAAAGATCTGAAGCTTAGCTACAAAACCAAGGGATGAAAAATTTAGGAAAGGACCACAAGCTCAAGACCGGATGATGAGCTTCAACTCTGCAGGAAAGAACCGCAAGGATTTGTTTCTTTATGTCCTCAGTCAGAAACATGAGGAGGAACGTGCATAGTATCTTCAGAGATCATCCACAAAAGTCTTCAAGTTGGACATGCTGGGCAGCTGCAGTCATCCTTAGTTGTGGAATGTGTGTATACATACACTATCCAAGCAAAACTACACCAAAGACGGCCATTTCTTCATAAGCTACACAGAATCACAGAATCACACACTATTAAGAGTTGGCAGGGCCCTCTGGAGATCACCCAGTCCAACCCCTGCCAGAGCAGGATCACCCAGAGGAGGTCACACAGGAACACATCCAGGAGGGTTTTGAATGTCTCCAGAGAAGGAGACTTACACAGTGAGTAGTACTTTTGACAAACACCAATCCCATGACTTCCATCACACACACAATGCTAATGTGATGTCCCGAAACATCATATAAATACATAACACCACCAATAATTCATTTGAAGTATTAAAGCATTACAATATGTTTGTATCTGTTTATATCTAATACACAATTCTCACTCATTTGTGCATTAAGGAATGCCTAAATATTTAACAGCAAGCAAGTTATTCTTTAGATTTGCGTTTTTGCAGCAAAGGGAACCATTTTTATTCTCTTGTGGATGGACACAATTTTCCTACTGACGTGACCACGGTGTCCCAGTAGTGGCACAGCGCTGTGTGGCTCTGGTTCTCCTTTCAAGGTGACAGGATACAAATCAAATCTGGAAAGTAGGACAGTAACTACTTGCTGCAAGATTAATGAGTCTGTTCAGCCTACTTCCAGTCTAGCATTTCCACTTCATCACCAAAAAATCATCACTGGTTGTCTGTAACAACATTTCAGTACCTTTTCGTTGAAGTGAATTTCTACAAATTTCCCAAAACGACTGCTGTTGTTGTTGCGGACGGTCTTTGCGTTTCCAAAGGCTTCTAACAGGGGATTTGCTGTTTAAAAAAAATGAAAATTTACAAGTGTTAACATTTGATCAATAAAGGACCCAAAAGAAAGAGAGAATAAACACATGCTGATTATTCAGTGAAGTTATTGGGAATAAGGTTTGAAAATTAAAGGAAAAATACTACCTATTGCAATTTTACACTATTAGAGTTGTACTGGGTACACTTCAGTGGAACTTACAATGCAGTAGTTAAATACCACGTAACACTGCAAAGTATTTGAATCAAGACTGTAAAAAAATTCAGAGGCTAACACCGAAAATTATTCAGTGATGTTCTTCTACAGCAAGAAGGTACACAACCGATACATGAACTATACGGGACAACGCACAATGTGACACTTCCTAATGAGCTGTTAGTCATAAAAACTAAACTACCCACTTATCCCACGGACAAAAATGCCACTTAAATGTCACGCGTGCAACATGTTAGATTGATTAGGGAATGAAAAAACGTATTAGAAGAGCGTGTTCATTTCAAAAACAGCCTAAAAATGCCATTTCAAATCAGGTCAATCAAGTGATGGAGTGAATTTATTTTTTACTGGCTGCAGTATTCAAACGCCTTAAAGCCCAAACAGAAGGAGTGACAACAATCTAATGTACATATAAATATATATATATTTATATGTACTACTATCAAAATGCCATGCACAGCTTAAGCAGTTTGAAAATGCTTAGTATTTATGAAAGACAAGGCCTCTGAAAGACTTCATTTTACTAACTCTGATGATCAAAGAAAAATAATTTACTAAATCACACTAACAATAAACCATTGAGAATATCTGCAAGATTTGTTAAGGCTTTTAGCTAAAAAATATGCATTGGAAACCATGTGAGAAGAAACTCAGATTTAAAACTCCACTGACAACCATCTACAAATCTGCTCCTACAAAAATGAAAGGATGAAGGAGTATTTACAATGGTTGGACAGATTACGGATGATAATGCATCATTTAACAGGGCCACATCAGCATTAACTTCTTTGTTTTGGTTATGTTTTCATTTTTATAATACTTCAAGCTTATGAAAATGCAAATCTGACTTTCAAAACTGACTTCTTAAGAGGTCTTTGATAACTCTTCAGGTATTTTACGTAGTATTAACAGCTCTGAAGAAAAGGTTATGAGGAAAAACCAATTGCAAGAGGTCTTTCAGACAGATTAAAGGTTCCTCCACTAATCCATACGCTGTAAGCGTGCTTATTAAAACTGTGCCTAAAATCTTCAAAATTCATGCATCAGGTGCTGTTTTACATTAAAACACTCAAACTTTTCTAAAAATACCTACAAGCACCAGTCCATTTTAGGGCACACTGCACCAGGCATTATCCAGCTCTTGGTTCCTTAAGCACGCAGTGGATTTCACTAAGGAACTGGTTTAAGCAAACCTACAGCAAGAAGAGATTAAAGCCTGCAGCACTTCTCTTGAATAATCTAGTGGCTTGAATTTGAAAACAGAAAAATTTAAAAGAAAAGTAAACCAATTTGGTTTAAGAAATAAAACATTTCAAATATGAAAAAAAAAAAAGTTAAAACATTGGAACCTTCGATTCAGTTAAAGAAAATTCAGTACCTTCTACAATTCTGTCATCAATATCCTGGCCAGAGCCATAGGATTCTGTCAAATACCTGTAAAGCAAGACAAAAGTATCAGTATCTTCCATGTGTCAGTTCAACAGGATTTCGCATGTCTGTGCACCAGACTTACTAACAATTTGCTAAAGGGGATGCATATTGATTATCAGTTCCAAATACCTTTATCTTTTTAAAGAAATGCAGTTTGACTTTTCTTTTTTGTTAACACAAAAATATTCTTGCAGATTTCAGAATTTTTTTTCAATACTTCAAGACACATTAGAGATTTCTTCTAGACATGCACATGGAAATGACAATTTTATACAAATGTAATGAAACTATTACTTTACTATCTGTATTTATTAATTATCTTACTAAATACGTAAGGTTTAATACGTACTTCCTGAACTAAGGACTGTTTCCATGCATACAGTTTCTGCAACCATAATTATCAGTGTTAAAAATCCCTCATGAAGATGGTGAGACAGGAAATTATAGGTGCATAATTCAGGTAAGATTCAATTCACCAAGTGAAGAAAGAATGTTAAAATAAATCCACAATGTACTTGCTCCAAGGTTGCAGCCTTTTAATTTTCTTTTTCCTGCACACAGGACGTGCTTTCTGGAAATTCACAAGTAAATCTGGGACGAGGTAAAAACAGTTCTCGAAAATGGGGCCTTCCAAAAAAAAAACCCGTAGGAGCACTAACAGAGATTTATTAGTGCGTTTTGCTTTCCTAATTTTAAAACTCAGTGTTTTGTACACTATGGGGGGCGGGTGGTGGGGAGAAGCAGCAGCAGCGCTATTTGCCTGCTGTGTAATCAGAATTTCCTTTGCAAAAAGCAGAACCACCTCCTTTGGGACCATTCCTCAGCAGATGTTCTCCCAGTGCCTGTCATCTCTTAGCAGGGTCAAAATTAGGATGTCCCCTGTAAAAATCATGACCGGCACCTTGTAGTAACTCTTGCAGCTATCTGCTAAAGGATGCTTAGGGGCAGAGGAGAGCAGGACGAAGGACAGACAGACAGTCGTGACAACTCTTCATGGGATGTGGAAGATAAAACCGCTACTCTACACACACACACTAGGGAATACATGATGTCAGGGAAAAAGGAATTAAAGATTTATAATGGGAAACAAGGACAAGAGGAGAAGGGAGGGTATTCACACTGTGCTTCCCTGGATAACCAGGCCACCTACGGCACAGGTGAACTGAATGGAGCAGTGTTTTCCAGTTATGATGTTCCAGAGTGATAGAAAGCAGTAAAAGCGTAAAGTAAATATGGTCAAAAACAGTAAGAGAAAGCAAGGCTGATATATATCATGTCGTTTCATATGTACTATCAGTTATACATGAACACCAATAAATAAATAAACCCCATTACTCAATCTTATTCAGTAAATTAGGGTAGAGTGTTTTACAGAATCTCTGCAGTGATCTCAAAATCAAGAGTTAAAATTCCTGGATGCTTTAACAAACTAAAGAAACAAAGACAGGGAAAACACAGAAATGCAAATTCATGGCAAAACCAACAGTGTCTTGCAAGATACAGTTAAAATGCACAGATACGGTTTTATCTACCACAATACCAGATGTGCAATACCAAAATGACTGGATGATAAACCATAACTACTGCCTGATGGCACTACAACCGAGTTAAGGTTCCCGTGAATATATAGCCATTTCCATACGATATCACATCAGCATTTAAGTTTAACCCTGTGAACCGCTTGTATTGAAGTGTACATAGAAGCATCTTACTGAATTGTGTCTTAAGCCCAATGATTACTTTGTAATTTGCTCTGTCTGTACGTCAACCAAATGCATCAACACCAGAGATTCAACTTTGGTCCAAAAAAGCACAAACCTCAAGACAAATTTAGTGTTTTCTGTCTTGCCAGCTCCTGATTCTCCAGAGACTATGATGGACTGGCTCATCTTGAGCACCTTCATGTCACGAAATGCTTTATCAGCTTAAAAGAAGAATGTGTTAAACGTGACAAAAGTTAATACGCAGGAGAGTTGCAGGCATAAAGTTAAGTTACAACACAAACAGTAAAATGTAATGTTTTCAGGAATAAAAACCTCAAACCTTTACAACTGAGTGCATTACACCTTATTAAAGTCTGTTTCCCATTGAATTATATTATAGTTGCTCACCCTTAAACACTGACACATAAGAGCTTAAAGTCTTTGAAAACAAATACCCACTCCACTACAACAAGGAGTTGTACACCTAGAACTAAATCTCTTGAATTAAATGCATTTACAACATTGCAACCAATCTCACTCTAATGCGTCTTTTAAAGGGAAACTTTCAGTTGCACTTTGTAACAACGCCTTAGATACAGAAACTTGGAAAAACGCGGGTAGCTTTCTTGGTATGCAACAGGTACTAAAAAACCAGCTCTTTATACTTTTGATTACACAGTGAGAAGGCTTTTACCAAGTCAAATGCTGATTTGTAGTTTCAAATTCTTTTTTCTTAAACAAAGTGAGTGAAATCAGGTTTATCCCGTTAATAAATGCACTTTCTGCCTGTAGCACAAATATATAAAGAGTGGATGTGCTCCGGCAATGTCATAAAAGGCAAAGGAAATCACTACACTGAAAGACAATGCCAATCATATTTATGTCAGTCTTCACTTCTAAATGCTCAATTTCTTTTTGTCTGTCTGTTTTTTAATGGTTGTTAATTACATTTAAACCTCTTAGACATAAAACAGAGGTGCAGAATTATCACAACAGGGTTGCCAGGGTTGCTAATTTCCAAGTTCTTCAAGCTGCATATCAAGGACGAGAAGATTTGCAATTTTAGCAATCAGGTCTTTTATTTTAAAACAGTTTAAAGTAAATTAATTAGTGTTACAGGTGGTAATTTATACATAACCACAAAGTATTTACTGTTTGTTTTGTAAAAACAAATACAGGCTCAATACTTACCAATAGCAAAAACATGTGGTGGCAATGTCCCAAGTGATCTACCCTGGTACTTTTTAATGGTATCTGAAGAGTAAAACTTAGGTATATCAAAATATGGATTCACTGCAATAAGAATGTTGGCTACATAGGTCTGTGAAGAAAAAAAGTCAACAGCAAATGATTAGCTAGCATCCAACCACGGGGTTAACAGCAATTTGCTATTACTATACAAGACCATAGTCTAAGCATAACAATTACATTTATAGTTGTTTCCAGCTAATGCGGATAGAGGAAGGGATTTATTTTCAGAATTGCTCTAATTATCTTCTCAAGATAATTATAAAAATTAGGTTTTTCCTTCTATGAAAAAAGCACTTCTCGGGAGAATTTCCTAACCACTGAGCTGTGGAGTACGTCCCGAATTTGACCTTTCTCCCCATCTCCTTTGAAATGATTTCCTATTGTGTGAGTTCCTGGATCAGGGATAAGACACCACAACCTCCTCTTCCTCAGAAGGGAACCAAGTAAGCTCCTGGCTACCACACTGCATAATTTTTCGGTACCTAATGGAAGCGACTCCACAGGAAGGACCGACAGGATCCTGCCTGGGAACGCGCTCAAGCTGGGCAATAAAAGCATTCAGCCGAGAGAAATCAGCTGTGGCTGCTTCCACAGTGAGAAATCCAGACTGCAAATGTTCTCTCACAGAGAAGAATCTCAAACCATAGGATACAGAAGACTGAAGATAATTTTTCAAGGTTTCTGAAAAACAACAACCCTTTCCTCGCTGGCCAGATTACATACAAGGAGGAACAGATGTCTGAAGCACAGGAAAAAAAAGCAGATTTACAGGAAGAGGTCTGAAGAAAATCAGATAAACCTTCAGCTTGAATAACTTATTAGATTTGTTGTTGTTAAGCATATCCCTAGACAACTGAAACTTGGACGCTATCGTGAGATGTTGATAGAAGGCTGGATCACACATAATATATCAATCATTTTTTTAGATGTTTCTATTTTCAGCACTTATTTCACTGAAGGAAAACATATGCACAGAGCTCTCTTCAGGAGCTGCAAGTACTAACATTAGTTTTCCTCCTAGTGACAAGACAAATACTGTTAACCAGCACTGAACAAAAAGCAAAAAAATCCCAAGACATGGATACAAACTGTGTCTTAAAGTTAAAAGGGAAAGGCAGTTAAAACACAAATGGAACCTTTTCCTCCTCCCCCCAGATATACCTGCCCAGGACAACACATCAGTAGTATTTGTTTAACACAAAGAAAGGCTTTATGAAGCTAAATACTATCCTACCTCATAACCAGTTCTGTTTTAGAATTTTACTTCCTTGGAGGTTGTTTGGTTGGGGTTTTTTTAATTATTATTTTTCCAGAAAAGCAATGAAATAGCATTTTTTTAAATTTATTTTAAAGTTGGTGCTTGATCTTGAGCCATAAAGAATTTACAGCTATGTAAAATTAACTGCAACAAAAGAAAACAACTATACTTTCTTTACATATGTATATAAAAGGCTTTAATTCCATTTCAGAACAGTATGATAACATAAAAAATTATTATTTTAACACAGGCACTTAGAAAATACGTAGAACGGTTTTGTATTATCACTAGCCAGGTTTCTATTAGGAAAAAAAAAATAGGAAGAAAGAAAACTCTTATCTTTCTTCTATTTCACAGCTGTCAGTGTCCGGGCAGATGGCAAGGACAAAATGTAATTCAGTCAGAATTCATTAAGTACAATTAGGCAATTCGATAGCAATATAAAAGATTAAGATGGACATCTGAGCTAGGAGGTGTCAAAGACGGCACCTGTTTGCTTCGTTCAAAAATAATGAAGCAAGAAAACCATCTTTGTTAACAGGCACTCTGCTGGCGATGTACGTTACCTCAGAACAGACCTCTGGGATGCAATGCTGTGCCGTGGTTGCACATGAATGGTCATGCAGAGAAATATCTATTGCTTTGTCTGGTAAAAATCAGCAAACATTAATGTGACTGATGTGATTCAGAGCTCAAATGAGGTCTAATGTAAAAAAAATGCAGGCCTAAAACCTCCTAGCCTTCCAACCAGTCCTGATTTCTGCTTGCTTTCTGTTACAGGGAAAACCAGAATTGGAAACACTTGTTTTGTTGATTTTTTGACAGGACACAACAATCATTAGAGTGGTTGTCATGACACAAAATACTTACATAAATTCTGTCTTTACTGTACCGAACTTTGATATTGTGAAGGAGAGTGGCTTCATTTAAATACATAAGAGAACCTGCAAGTAAAAGACAATCACATACCATTACGAGCTCAGGACTGGCTTTGTGTACAGCCAAACCACTAAATCTTAGAATAACAGAGAATTTTACTTCCTCTGTCTTTGATTATATTTTAATCCTATAATTTATTTACACTGTTTCGGGCAGAACTGCTGACTCAATACACGTTTTAAAAACCACAGACCTGCTCTTTACTATACATTTGGAGCTACAGAAAGTTGCTGACCAAGGAATCAGACTGCAGGAGTCTTGACACAACAAAACCTAGGTTGTTTTTTTTCCTCCTTGGCTCGTTAATATGCTGAAATGTTACAAAGCAGTGGCTTAAGGCAGCGAGCAGGCACCCACAGAAAGCTTCAGACCAGATGGGCTCACATTCTGGCAAAGCTGGTCCTTGTTTTCAGCTATAAAGCACTGGAAAGTGTTAACAGCCTTAATTACTGGGGTCATTACCAGTTCCCTTTGTAACAATATTAAAAACATTATCCCTAAACCAGCTGTGGGCACTACTTATTACTCAGCCTCCATTTTCAAATATGCTCAATCCTCTTTTTCTCACCACTTAAAATCCGAGTGCACAACACTGTTTTGTCTTGTTACAACTGACTGACTGACTACCATACTGGTAAACCTTACAGTATTAGTGCCACTTAAATTGGTTTTCATCTGACTACTGTTGATGGAGCGAGCAATGTGCCTGTAATGTTAACTGCTACCCCACATCTCACACAAGGGCCACATATGCACCTCTTGTCTAAAATGACCAAGGTTGTTTCTAAAGTTGGACTAATGCCCTTTTCACAAGCGTTTCAGCAGAGAAAAACTTATTCCAACTATTTATACAAATGTGCAAGAAAGTTCTTGTGACCTGAAATCACCCTGCCCAGCCACCTCACCCTACAAGGACACCTGAGGCTCAGTGAAGCAGCTCTTCACGTCTCCTTCAATGCTCCTCCTGCTGACCCAGAATATACTGGCAAAAGGATAATGAGAGCTTCTCAAGAGCCTCTGTGCTTTTGTTTTCAATCTTACACCTTTCTTTCTGCAGCAGATGGAGGAGTGGCTCTACCTCCTACCACCTGCACCACGGCAGCCTGAGGCGAAGGCAGGTCCGGCAGCCATTTTCAGCCTCTGGCTTGCGTAGCTCCGCTAAACAACTGCCCTTCCTTTCCTTACGTGACTAAAAACAGCTTTGCTTCCTATGGCTGGAGTCGTTCACACTTCTTAAAGGACCTTGAAACTTCTGGGTTGTTTAGAAGAAAATGCCACCAGGACCACAAATTCCAGCTCTGCCTCGACAGGCCTCTTTCCGCCCTCATCTTTTTTAACAAGGTCATCCCAAGTGAAAGAGACATTACAAGGAAATGGGCCAGAAACTTGAACTCTTGCTTGCTCCAATGAAAGTTAACATCACCTTCTTCCCTCAACGGGGACAGGCTGTAACTTCTGAAGTCTGCTAATTTTAAAGTCATTCGGATTCTCAGCATTGAGTTCAGAAACTATTACGTAGTGATTGTCCGCATACATTTAAAGAAAGGATCCTCTCAACTGTATCTTGGTAAGAACCTCCCAGGGTTTGCAGTATGTTTTAAAGAAAACAGTTATCAGTTAAGTATCCTAATAAAAACTTGATAATTATGTAAACAAGGGACCCTAAATTTCAGTGCATTCCGAGTACTCTCCTTGCAAGCCCTCCTTAGTTGTACCTGCAGACTCGGTACATGAAGGGAGCTTGCTCCCTGAGGTAAGGTCCCTTCACTCAACACACGAAAACTAAGGCTTATGTCAGGAACTTCTTTAGAATAAATCCTTTAAAAGAGGCATCCGTATCCAGAGGCAAAGGAAGTCACTACAGCGAGAATTATGAATATTCATATGGCTCAATATCACCAGTGTGTGTATGTGCATTTAATAGTCCATATATTTACTTATACACACACACGGGGTTCACAGAAGTCAAGTCAGGCACTAAAAGCTAAGAAATATTAAATGTCAAATTTACTTACATTAGCTCTCCTGTGGACAGAGTGAAGCAGGGTTTGTATGAAAAATAATTTTATCATGTAACTGCAAGGCTCTGCATCTGTAGGACTATTTTTTTTAAAGATTCTTATCTGATACCATTCTTTGAAATTGTTTCCCCCCAGAAATATTTTTTTTAAAAAGAAATCTTTTTCTTAGCCATAAAAAAGGAAAATTCCACATATGTTGACAACCTCCCAAAACTGAGTGGGGTTAGGGGGGTGCAGAAGAGGAGTGTGAATCACAAAAAAGAAGTAAATGCTTTGTCTCTGCACTGTTTGCAATATATACTGAAAAATTCACATTTGAGGAAGGGCTAGATTCTCAAAAGGGTGTCTCTTGCAGTTAGTGCATTTGGGTTACGGAACACTAAGGGTGGGAAAAAGCAATACTTCAGCAAATTACTCCCTAGAAGGCAGTTAATCACTAACGCATGGCATGGAATTGTAGTTGTGTTATTAACTAGCTTTTCAGGATTTTTCAGAAGAGTATTATAGGGAGAGACTGAAAGCACTCAGTACCTTATAAAGTTTCTTCTTAAAGATCAACAATGCTCAGCACAAATCTATTTTAACTTAACTGAACAGTACCTTGCTGGAATCTCAAATGATTTCCATAATCTCATTCCAAATTTCAGTTCCCTGACTAGGAAGGACACTGAGGTGCCAGGACCCCTTGGTAAAATCACTGGGACAGTCACACAGATTAAATGCATTTCCCGAACAATCATCTGCTTCACTACAACCTATTTCCTTTTCCAGTGGTTCCGACGGGTACAGATCCCTGCCTCCAGTTTTGGGAAGGTTACCTTGCAATTTATTTTCAATTACTTGTACTTCCACAAGAATCCTATCTGAGAAATGGGTTACATGCAGGAAAAATGCAGTATAATACTGCTGTCGATAAAGCGACTAACTCCTTTGCTGCACTATGAAAGATGGAGTTAACCCCTATAGTGCTGCATGCAGTTGATCCTGATGCAGGTAGGTGAGATGTGATACATACCCAAAGCCAAGAATAAGGTAACTATGAGTTCCTCTAAAGTGTTCAACTGAAACTAAAAAACTATAAATGATATTTAAAATGGCCTTACTTTAAGAAGTTTAAAGGACTATTAAAGGCTTTACTTAAATTCAAGCAAAATGACGACTACAAGGAGAAACAAGGAAGCTTGTAAAGAAACAATATTCTTTTCTATACAAATATTTTTTTCAAATGCATAACTTATTTTTAAGTTCATAACTTACAATTATCTTCTACATCCTTTTTGCTGTCCTCTTCCGCAGGAAACACTTGATTGATAGCAGCCTGGAAAGTCTGTCAGATGAAATACGTTAACACAGTCAGAATTCCATAAAAATAGAAACAGAGTTCAAAGATGCCTGATGTGATGGTACAAGTGAGTGCACTGGAATTATGCATGGTTTAAAATGATGGTGCCAGCTTTATACTTCAGCACTGGAAATTTTACTGAGTTACTAGGTGCAGATAGGAGCTGCTGCATTTACATTACTATACTACATTATTAAAATGCAGTCACAGTACTGTATGGTTTTTATTGCAATAATATTGCAGGCTGATTTCCAAAATTGCATGTAACATTGTGTAATATAAAATGGGTATTTGAAAGAAGTACTTCAAAGGGAACAGTGTTGTAAAGGACATACACAACTTCCTCAGTTTTGCAAAGAAGCACAAAGAAAAAAAACCAGATTATTAGTTCAAAGGACTGTGCTGTGATTATCATATGCTGTTTTAAAACATTCTTACTTAAAATATCAATGTTCAGTACATAATATCCTCTGTATCCCCAAATACTGGAGCTTTGGTTGTTGCCTGCTGGGTTTTTTTTCCTTCAATAAATCGATATTAAAGTAAAACAAGACCTTCCTTCAACCCTTGTATTCCAGTTATACAAAACAGCCATTTATCAAGTGCTTGTGTCCAACTGGAAAAATTCATCACAAAAGACACTTTGTTTTGTCTTTATTCTCCAGAAATCATAATTTATATTGTTGCAAAAAGGAAGGAAAAACATCCAAGCACACAAACACATTACAGCGTCTGCACAAAAATATCTCTTGTAAGAGGTAGGCTTTTAATGATACCTTTTTGTGGACCGCAGTAACAGCTTCAGCTACCTCTGAAAGAACAAAACCCCTGTTGTACCCACCAAACACCACGGCCACCACGCTGCAAGCACTGTCTGCTTTTCCCCATGGAAATGGAGACAAGAAGTCTAGCCCAGTATTTGAAAAGGCAACCAACTGGCGCTAAAAGATGACCTTAATAAACAAACGTGTCTGCTTGTTTAACACTGTACTCGGCAAGAGAGTCCCATGAGAAACACCTCACATGGAAAATTCAGGAGAAATACAGCAACTTGCTTCAGTACAACAGACACAGTACGTGAGCTCTTGTAGCTGACACCAAACTCCAACTCCTTTTCAAGTGGGAAGTGTCATTAAAAATGGCAGCACAGAACTAATTGCTGCCTGTAGGAAAACAGCGAGTCTATGTGATAACTTTCCATAGCAGGGATATCAAAGTACGCAATTTGCAGTCACAGGAAATTCTACTTTGTCAACCCCTCATCAGGATCTAACGCAGAAAAATATGCACAAGAAGCTTTCCTAAGGAAAACAGAGCTGCTCAATGATGCTGGAATATCTGAATGTCCATCAGACCAACCTCCTCCAAAATGTCCTTTATCAGAGCTTGGTGGAGACATGGAGGACCTCAACATTTTTACCTATCTCAAAAAGCTGCCAGCTGTCACTCAGAGTTTTAGCAGGGCAGAGGTTCCCCTCCATGATTTCCTCCCTCTCACAATATTGCAGTTAGAACATATTATCCTAATAATTTTCTCTGCAAGTTTGTCAAGGATGAAGATATATCTCATTGGGCAAAGATACATCTGAACACATCAGTGTCCCACATAATCAGTTCACTACAATTGAAACAGCACTACAGTTTTAAAAGAGCACGACTGGCTGCATGAAAACCAAACTTCACTTCTTGTTCCTGTCTGCTAATGTGTAACCCACGTTTAACCACTAACAAAGACAAGAGAGACTGAGCAGCATACCCAGAGAGGGCTTTCACAAATCTCCGATACTTTAACATTTCATCGATCTAAAGCCAGCTATACCAGATCTAGCCCAGAAGAGGAAGGAAGAGCTCTATCAGTGTCCTCACCACTCAGCCTTCTGATCCAAGATAGATTTCAAGGAAAAAAAATAAGAATTCATGCTGTATTATCTCCTCCTTAATTTTTTTATCACTCAGTGTGAATTGTGAATTAACTTCTAGTGTATTTCACTAAGGTAACGTGACTGCTGTTATGTAGGCAAGTACATTAGCCAGATGTGCAGAGCTCTGAGTATTGCAAATTACTATTAAAATCTCATCTATTAAATAGGAATATGGGCACGATATCACAGGTCTATTAATTTAAACAAATCCAAATAAATTCTTTACTATATTGTCCCATTATTTTTTAAAACATTTATTATAAGAAAACACTTCAGGCATTTGGTGGAAGACTTTTGCATTAAGACATAGCTTAGGACAAACTTAAGATATTGATCTTGAGACACTGAAGTGGTCTCAGGAGGCAAAACAGAGAGTTTAGGGGTTTTTGTAGGGTTTTTTTTTTATTCCTCTTTGTAATGAAGCAGCCCTTGAAATCCAATGGCAATCTTAACTATTCTCCAGAAACTAGATGAGTGAAAAAAGATATCTTTCCATTCAAGCAGCATCTTCTTTCTACCATGTAATCCAATCTGTGTAACCGTGCCTTCCTTTATACCTTCCAGATGCAGACGGGAGACATCCCTGCTCTCAGCTGTACCTCACAAGCCAACCTAAAGCAGTACAAATGGTGTGCAACACAGACAAGAACACGTCTCAGTTGCCCAAGCAAGCTGCACTCACTGCTTAAAAAAAACCCTTAGCTTGAAACACTGAACTTTGGACGTTCTGATCCGTACTTTCAAAGTACATTTATTCATTTATACTTAGCCAAGGAAAATACCTTTCTGGTTATTCACAGCATACCAGAGCAGGTGCCCCATAAAGCCCTCCATGACCCTTCAGAACAGGCACAGAGCCACAAGGTGCCTCTCAAGTTGATGTCAGGAGGGGTCTCAGTGAGTGCCTGCAGCACCAGACACATTCCCAGTGACTTCCAGAAACTTCCTACTGCCGATGCAGTAGGAAATGCCTGCCCCTGACTCCTCAGTGCCACGAGGGCCCCAGGATGGCAGCTCAGGGCGCAATTTCCCCTGGGGCATCGCTCCCTCATCACTTTATTCAGATTTTCTACCTCCAGGAAAAGAGTAAATCCCTAGTAAGTTCAGAAAAGGATACTCCAAGTAGAAGTGCGAATGCAGTAACTTCCTTGTACGCTGACATGCAACTGCTGGTGGGACACAGGCCTGAGTTGCCAGCCCTGGCCCCCTGTTCCAGGGAGCGCTCCAGCCCTAGGTGTGACCACACTCATTAGCAAACCACTCTCCGGTTTCTCTGTTTTCTTTCCAGTCACAGCATTTATCAGCCTTGCAAGCCGATGATCTCGTTTTTGGAGAGTAGCTCCCATGGTGTAACAGGTACACACTCGGTTCTGATAACACGCTGCTGCAGCTTGGATTACTCTGCCTCGTAAGGTGCAGGCCAGGTGACTCAGATCTCCACCTCTCTTTAGACTCCCGGCCTCCACACAGAAACATAAATGCTGTTGTTAACTCAGTACCCAAAACTGCTGTTGCTGGTTTATAAGTACGCAATATTTTGGCCAACTACCTTCACCCCATCTGGACTGGGTAATTTGGTTTTATAACACAAAACAACCATCTACAGCCACGGGAAGGCCTCAGGTCCTCAGTTCTCCTGTTGCTGCCAGCCTGAAAACTTTCCACCTCTTCGTCTTTAAGGTGGATCCGTTCTCTGACCTCATTTGCTGTGTCACACACAGCTCTGCAACACCAGAACTAGCTACAGGTGGGGAAGGGAGGGAAGACTTTAAGACATCATGAAACTGCTGCCTTGCAGCATTTATTGCAGTTATTAACAACATATTTTAATTAACTATTGAGTGGTATAAAAGGCAATAACCAAACATATGCATACGCATTTCCTTTCCAGCCTGTGATCTCTGGTAAGCTACCAGCACCTACAGAGAATACACATGACATGTTAATGACCCAGATTAAAAAATAATAATAAGTTACACTGCCTGGGTATGTTTACAAGATCAGGTTACTCCTCTCCTCCCTGTAATTATCATGGGCAACTCTGGAGCTGCCGGATCACTCCTTCTTGCTGAAGAGCACTTCTGAACTATCATTTTAAGTAAACAAAGTTGGTAATGATGGGTATTAATGCTGACTACTTCAAGTAATGGTCTAAGCGCACAAGAACAGTCTTCTTAAAAAGACAAAAAGCAATGAGAAACATTTCACTATAAAAACGACACCTTGAAAAGGCTGAGAAGGTAATCAAGAAAATGTTTTACTCCACCTCTATTAAAATAAGAAAGTTTGATAATTAGAAATGTAGGACCATAATCTCTATGGTCTTTAAACTGTGAAATGTTTGTTCCCTGAGATGAGTGAACATTAGGCCCTTAATCGATCTGCTTAATTCGAGAAAACAGACAACTGCAGAATAACAAACTTTACAGACAAAAGAGATTGCTCATTGTGAATCAAACAGCAAAATATTTGTACTTTAGGATCATTTTTTGGTTTATATATATTTATATATATATAAAATCCCTGAAAGGAGCATATGGTAGAAATAAATAGTGACTCAGGAATCTCCTCATTGCCTGTTTCTGCTTCAATATCCAGGCTTCTGCTCTTTATCACATCAGAACCATTTGGGGATACAAACAGAAATAGCAGTGGGGTCAGTATCAGTTAAAGACTACTTAGCCATAGCTTTGGAATAGTTAAGAGTCTTGTCTGAATAATTTTGCTTTTCCCCAGACTGAAGAATGCACACTACTGCTACTACTACTACTAAACCCACAGACTTTATCTCTCTCATAAAAATCAGATGTTACACTTGCTTTATGTTTCTAAGGAAAGCAAAATCAACTTCCTCTGAAAGACGCAGAGAAAAGAAAGCCTATGAACATTCCCCCAGAGGGAAGGGCTGCTGTATAACCTTTTAACCCGTGACAAGGCATTTTCTGCTATTGCTGATGTGAAAGAAAAGGTTACAAATAACATTTTCTCTTTTCCATACCCAAAGATACAGAAAAGACAAAACTGTTGGAAAGGGCACATATCAGATATCCACAGTGACCAAAATCACAACTTTTAAAACAGTGTCTGATCTTATTCCAGGCTGCCAACCATCTGAGTTAGGATAATTGATACATACAAGGTGCTTCCTGCAAAAACTGACATTTAATTAAGACATACCGAATGTGAAAGATGTGATGATAAATGCAGCAGTTGGAACACACTAATTAGGATGAACGAGCACTTCATTTTACATCACTTCATTTGATGTAGCAATTCTATAGGACCTTTATCTGACACTGTGTTACCTTGCAAGGTACTTGAGGTAAGAGGATTCACCTCTCAATCTCCATCGGTCTAACAGTAAGATGTCTAATCTAAGCCAGAGCCTAGGACACCCCTGTAGGACACACTCTGTGCATGCAAGGGAAAAGGCAGAAGCTAATCTCAACGGCAGACTCTTAACCAGCATTTAATTCAGGGAAAAAAGGATACAGTACTGAATCAAATGGCTACGGAGATTCAATCCTCTTCTTTCACAAGCATGTACAGTGGGAATATTTCATCTGCAATGAAAGCTAAACAAAGATCCTTAGCCAAACTCTGGCTAAGTCAGAAAACTGTTTTTCTACTCCCTCAGGCTGTGTGTAATTGTAGATATTGACAAAGATTTGGCCTAGAGGTAAAACAGTTTGTGTAAGGTTTTTCTCTGTTGCTTTGTTTGCAAGACACTTACCTTGCCTTTCTGATTCAAAGGTTCAATAGTTAAGTTGTCAGTGCCGATGTCCACAATCATCCCCATCTGAAACCCATCAGTCAGGTGTGGAGCCCAAACAGGCTTCCCGTCCTCCATTGTGGGATCTATCCAGTATTTCCTGTAAGGAAAACATAAGAATTAAACAAAAAATGTTGTATACAAATGTAGTAAGCTGTCAGGATTCACTATACAGACTTCAGTTTGTTATGTTTGTCCCTGTTATTCAGTGTGGAAGGAGCCAGCCCTGTCAAGACAAGATTATTCCAACCTTTCTCCAACCCACGACGTTTTGCTCACAGAGGCCCCCCTCGGAGTTCAGTCTGGGGAAGATTCAAGAACAGATCAGCTGGGGGTGAGGGGGCCCACGCACTGCTCCCTGTGCAGACACTCAAATTTCTGTAAGAGGCACGTGTTGAGGCTCGTGAGCAGAAATCCACCCGTTTGTCACTGGAGACGAATGAACGCGCTCACTCTTTTCCCATGGCTGGGCCTCAAATATATCGGTCACAACTGATTTATCGTACCATAAGCCTTTGAGAGACTGACCTCCGACACTCTAACATGACAGCTCTGCCTCTTAAGGAACACCAACCTTATCTTCTATAAAAGTGTGACATAAAAATTGTCTTAGAGGAATCTGTGCTGTACAAGTGGAAGGGATGCAAAGGCCAAGACACTCAAACCTTAGGCTCCTCAAGTTATGCAGCTCAATAAGCTCCCAATTAAAAGGAGTATTTGATTGCATGCAACGCTCATTGAGCCAACCAGGACAGCTGCCAGGGTTGGCACACTCTGAATGGCCAACGGTGCCATTTTAAATATGCTGAATTAGTCCTTTTTCTTTTTTTTCTTTAAAAGCCTACTTTATAGTCCTTACCCTCATAAGGATAGAGAGTTCACACAGCTTTAAAGCCTCACTTCCCCTGGCTGTTTCCTACTCTCCTCCAAAATTGATTCACATACTAAACTGACATGTTTTAGTGATCCCAAAATCCAGGAAATGTATCACCAAGGTGTAACCTGCCTCTCTCAGCAATGAGCCTGCCAAGCAGCACAGAAAACAATGGCAGCCAACTCCACCAGTCTGTGAGCTGGGAAATGTCATTTTTCTTTACCCGCTTCTGCAGGAAAAAGTAGGTCCAAAATTTCTCACAACCAGCAAAGGCTGCAGACCCCTTGGTCACGTCCTCATCCCACCAGAAAGTTGTACAACCACGAGCAGGAAAGGACGTTCATGTCCCACAGAGGAGCTGTGCTGCATGTGACCTGCTTTTTGCTGCCTCCAAGGACTTCAGATCGGTTTAAAGAGAAGGAAAAGGCTCGCTTAGAGAATGCACTTGGGTCTTAACATCTTACTTGTCAAGGAATAAGACAATTCGCTGTTAACTAAGTTTGCAGATGACACTGAGTTGGGAG